CTTGTGGTTCGCAACCTGATTCATAACCACTACGCTACCAGAGCTCGTTGGTATCACTGTTAGGTGCCATCAAGTCTGCACTGACTCGTAGCAACCCCAAGCGTAGCAGAATAAAACACTGTGGCCCTGAGCCACCTCACAGTTGCTGCTATGCCAGAGCTCATTGCTGCTGCCACTCTGCCAGTCCATGTCCTTGGGGTCTTCCTCTCACTCTACCAAACATGATATCCTTCTCCAGGGACTGGTCCTTCCTGATAAAACGTCTGAAATATGAGAGACGAAGCTTGACCATCCTGGCTTCCCAGGAGCATTCTGGCTGTACTTCTAACACAGATCTGTTTGCTCTTTTGGCAGCCCACGGTACTTTCAGTATTCTCCAAACACCATAACTCAGATGCATCCATTCTTCTATGGTTTTTCTTATTCATTGTCCAACTTTCTCATGCATATGAGGTTATTGAAAATACTATGGCTTGAGTCAGGCAAACCTTCATCCTCAAATTGACATCTTTGATCTTGAACACTTAGAAGAGGTCTCATGCAACAGACTTGCCTAATGTAATATGTCATTTGATTTCTTGACTGCTGCTTCCATGAGTGTTTATAGTTGATCCGAGCAAATGAAGTCCTTGACAACTTCAATCTTTTCTCCCATTTATATGGATGCTGTCTATTGGTCCAGTAGTGAGGATTTTTGTTTTCTTTATATTAAGATGCAACCCATACTGAAGGCTGTGGTCTTTAATCTTCATCAGCAAGCAAGGTTGTATCATCTGCATATCACCAGTTATTAATGAGTCTTTCTCCAATCCTGATGACATATTTTTTGTCATATAATCCAGTTTCTCCGATTACTTGCTCAGCATGCAGATTGACTAAGTATGGTGAAAGAATACAGCTCTGGCGCACATCTGTCCTATTCTATGTACAGATTCCTCATGAGCACAATTAAATGTTCTGGAATACTCATACTTAGCAATGTTGTTTGTTCATAGCTCATCATGATCCACACAATCGAAAGCTTTTGTGTAGTCAAAAAGGCACAAACAAATATCTTTCTGGTATTCTCTGCTTCCAGCCAAGATCCATCTGATGACAGCAATGATATCCCTTGTTCCTCATCCTCTTCTGAATCCAGCTTAAATCTCTGGAGGTTCTTTGTCACTGTATGGTTGCAGCTGTTTTTGTATTATCATTAAAGTAAAGTAAAACTTTTTTACTTGCATGGGATATCAATGATACTGTCTGATGATTTCTGCATTCCATTGGGTCACCTCTCTTTGGAATGGACACAACTATGGATCTCTTCCAGTCAGTTGGCCAGGTAGTTGTCTTCCAAATTTCTTGGCATAGATGAGTGAGTGCCTTCAGTGCTGCATCAGTTTATTAAAAAATTTCCATTTGTATTCCATCAATTCCCGGTAGGTGCCTTTTTTGCCAGTGCCTTCGATGCATATTGGACGTCTTCCTTCAAGATCATTGGCTCTTAATCATATGCTTCCTCTTTAAATGGCTGAACACTGACCATTTCTTTTTGGCACAGTAACTGTGTGTATGCCTTCCAGGGATGCTTTGATGCTTTGTGCATCGTTCAATATTTTGTCTATAGAATCCTTCAATACTGCAAGTTGAGGTTTGCGTTTTTTCTTTAGTTACCTCAGCTTGAGAAATGCTGAGCGTTTTCTTTCCTTTTGATTTTCGAACTCCAGGTGGTTGCACGTTTAGTTATATTATTTGAGTTTGTCTTCTCAAGCTGACCTTTGAATATAATGACCCTATATAAGGTTTCCAAGGAGCAGCTGGTGGGTTTGAACTGCTGTTCTTGTGGCTCTCAGTACAGTGCTGATCCTACAGCACCATACCAGGACTCCATGTTGTGGGGTGTTGTTAAATGCTGTCAAGTCGGTTTCAACCCACAGTGACCCTGAATAGGGTTTCCGAGGAGTGGCTGGTGAGCTTGAACCTCTGGCATTGTAGTTCTAACCGACAGTCCAGTGCATTAACCCATCGTGCCATAGCAGGACACCATATTAGATGTAGGGATATGAAGATAAATTAAGATAATGCCCTTGCTTTCAAGGTTCTTATTGCTTAACTGGAGAAACAGAGTTTGTATAGGTGACTGTAGACTGTCATATAATCAGTGGGTGTCAGTACTACCTGCTCATTAGCATTACCTGGAAGGGTTTAAATATATACCAATTCTCATGCTCTGCTTCAGATAATAAATTAGTATTTAATACAAGGGTAAACATTATCTGTAGCAACCTGGGAGGAATGAGCCACTTTAATTGGAAAACGAATTGGGAAGGCTTCACAGTGAGAGTAACATTTAAACTAGTTGAGGCAACAAGAGAAGGAAAACAAGTATTTTCCACTAAAACAGGTCCTAGAGAAGTGTGTGAAATGGGGGTATCCTGGAAAACAAGGCAGTTTCACCAAGTTCTGGCTCTCAGTATAAACTACTCCCTAGTTTATACCAAATTCCAGGTGGATTTCAAGTTGTTTTTTCAGTGCAGTTGAGTCCGTTCCAACTCATTGTGATCTTAGCACAACAAAACAAAACCCTGCCCAGTCCTGTGCCAGCCTCACAATGGCTGCTGTCTATGTTGGAGCCCATTGTTGCTGCCACTGTGCCAGTCCATCTCATTTGGGGTCTGCCTTTTTTTCTCTGGTCCTCCACTTTACCAAGCGTAATGTCCTTCTCCAGGGACTGGTCCCTCCTTATAATATGTCCAAAGTATGAGAGATGAAATTTGGCCATCCTAGCTTTTAAGGAGCATTCTGGTTATATTTCTTCTAACACAAATTTGTTTGTTCTTCTGGCAGTTCATGGTAGCTTTAATACTCTTCTCCAATGTCATAATACAAATGCATCAATTCTGCTACAGTCTTCGTTATTCATTGTCTAACTTTGACATGAATTTAAAGTAATAGGGAGAAAAAATAGAGGAGAATATTTCTGTATTCTTAGGAATGAAGAAACCCTTTGTTGAACATGAATTAACTCCAAAGCCATAAGGAGAACATTGAGAATGCCAGATTTTGCTAAGTAGCCACTTTGAAACCTGTGAAAATTGGAACTCAATGGACTGCCCCCCACCCTAAGTCTTGTAAGTTTTTCACCTTTGACAGGTTGCAGTCTTACCACATTTTTATTGCTCATTTTAGTGGAAAATATTTGGGTTTCCTTAGCCCCACCGTACACACGTTGTGCTTTCTCAGGGTTTACTATATTTAAGATTTCTCTGCAGCAAAAGATACCCTAAATAAAATGGAAAATCCAGACACTAGGAAAAAATATTTGATATTGCATGGCAGAGGACAAATGTACCTAATATATAATGAACTCTTCTTACAAATCAATAAACTGGAACATCTCAAAGAGAAAAATAGGCAAAATATATGTGCTGAAAGTTTTCTAAACCAAAAATGTAAATTATTAAATATATAAAAAGATGTTCAGGCTCATTAGAAGTCAGAGAAATGCAGCCAAACAAGAATTTTTTCTCAGGTTGATACAGAGGGAAATAAAATAAGTGATACCTAGTGTTAACACAATTTGGAGAAACAGTATTGATAACATTTCTGGTAGAAGATAAAGTTTGTGGTTATCTTATGGAACTTGGTAGTTCCACAGCCGTAAGTTAGTTACCCCTGTTCCTGTTTAGTGTCATTGAGTCAGTTCGCATAGCTACCCTGAGTAGGGTTTCCAAGGAGTTAGCAGTCCAGTACTAATCCTACAGTGCCACGCCAGATACCGCTAAAGGAATGCAGTGTTTGTAATAGCAAAAGAATAGGGAGCAACATAAATGTGTACCTGTTGTTGTTATGTGCTGTGGAGTCGGGTCTGACTCATAGTGACCCTGTATAGGGTTTCTGAGGCTGTAAATCTTTACGGGGGCAGAAAGCCTTGTCTTTCTCCTGCGGAACAGCTGGTAGTTTTGAACTGATGACCTTGAGCTTTGCAGCTCGATTCGTAACCAATACGCTACCAGAGCTCCTGGTACCTGTTATAATTAATCTACCTCAGCTGCTCCTTGGAAGCCCTATACGGTGTCACTGTGAGTACCTGCTGAGGTAGGTTAATTATTTTTGGTAAAAATATATGCCAAACTGTAGATGTCTTTGGGGGAATACCTACTGCTAGGGAGGGACACTTTTTACTTCATATACTTCTGTAATGTTTGGAATTAAAAATGACAAAAAAAAAAAAACTTCCATATAACCTTTTGTATTTAAAAAAATATATATTGTCAACTTAGTTTCTATGATGAGTTGTTTAAGAGCAGCCATTCATTCAAAGGGATGCTTTCTTGAGGGTGTGGGCTACTCCCACTACAATGGATGTGGGAGAAAGACTCTGTGTTTCTTCTGCTGGCAACCTGGGACTCTGCAATTGTAAGCCATTTCCTTAATAATAAACTTCTCTTTATATATGTTAAAAGAACATTGCCAACTGAAAGTACTATGCTGGATGGATTAAAAGAGGAAGAAGTTAAGGCAGAAAAATCAGTCAAAGGTTTTGTTTTTGCCTTGTTGACTTACTGCTAGTTTAAAAGAAACGTGGATGATTTCAAGTAGAACTGTGACAGAATAAGGAAGAGGGTAGATTTGAGAGATACTTCAGAAGTAGAATCTATAAAGTTTCTGTGGATGTGAAGGATAGTCAAAGATGACTCTGAAGTTTGTTAAAAAAAAAAATTTATCAAGTAAATGATTTTGCCATTATTGGAAAGAGAGAAAACAGGCAAGGGAACATCCTTTGAGAAGTAGGTAATGACTGTTGTAAACAAGATCCTCAGTTAAGTATTTGGATGGGAAACTGCTTTCAATTAGTTAGTTCACCTTTAGCACAAACATCTATGCTTTCTCATTAAGGCAAGTCTTCTATAGTCTAGTTCTACTACTTATTAAGAGATGTTATTAATCTTTAAAAATAGAAAAGCATCATTTTCTGAGTGCAATTTCAAAATTCTGTCCTGTTTTATGTTTTTCAGAGTGCACATTTGGCCATGATAGACACCCTAATGATGGCTTACACTGTGGAAATGGTCAGTATAGAGAAAGTAATTACGTGTGCTCAACAGTATTCAGCTTGTTTTCAAGCCACGGATCTGCCCTATGACATTGAGGATGCTGTCATGTTCTGGATAAATAAGGTAGGATTTTAATTACTTGAGTGAAAATGAGTCTTGCATGCAGAAAGAGTGAAATCCTGAGTTAAGCATTGCCATTCCATGTCCTCTGTTTAGATCCAAGGTGAAAGTTAAAGTTGTGGGACCACATGTAAAATCTCCTATTTCTTTTTTTCTTTTTGACCGTAGAAAACAAATATATATTTCTATATTTAGCAATATCTATAATCACAGTTGGAGTCCTGGTGTGGTGCTGTAGGATCAACAATGGACTGCTAACCACAAAGTGGTTGCCTCACACCCACCAGCTGCTCCTTGGAAGCCCTATACGGTGTCACTGTGAGTTGAAACCGACTCAACAGCATTTAACAACAACAACAAAAACAATAATCACAGTTAATAATGAGTAATACCAGATTACTACAAAATCCAGAGCACAGTAGGGAGCGATACAGAATCAGTGTATGCTAAGTGTTTTTTTTTTAATCCAATAATGAACGTTTTCACACATTTGCAATTTGGGGATTCTTAGTTTTATGTGACTATGTTGCACAAGATCATATTGATTGTGGATTCTCTTGGAAATTTTTATGAAGCTGTGATTTTTTGTGCTCTGTTGTTGTTGTTGTTGTTAAGTGCCATTGAGTCGGTTCCCACCTACAGCGACCCTGAACAGGGTTCCCGAGGCTATAAATCTTTACGAGAGCAGAAAGCCTCATCTTTCTCCCACGGGAGCAGCTGGTAGTTTCAAACTGCTCACCTTGTGGTTTGCAGCCTGATTCGTAACCACTGTGCTCTGGAGATGCTTACATTGCTAGTGTATCACTTGTTTTACCAATTTAAGAAGTTAGTTCCTCTCAGTGCTCTTTCACTTACAACTATTACCTCAGAGAGTTAAACCTGATCTATAGGTAATCATTAAACAGGCTTCAAGGAACGTGAATACTTGTAACAAGAAGCTAAGTATAAAAGCTACTTTTACATCTATCATCATTGTCCTTAGAGTCCTGGTATGGCACTCACTGCAAGATAAGCACTGGACTGCTAGCCACAAGGTCAGTGCTTCAAACCTACCAGCCGCTCAGAAACACTGTACAGGGTCGCTGTAAGTTGGAACAGATTTCGATGGCACTTAACAACAATAGTGTAGGGTTTTTGAGAAGTGGCTGATGGGTCTGAAGAACCAATCTTGGGGTTGGCAGTCCAGTGCTGATCCTACAGAACCACACTAGGAGCCCTCCTAACATATGTTGATGATGATGTTGTTGTTGTTGTTAAGTGCTGTTGAGTCAGTTCCAACTCATAGCGACCCTTATACAGTTTCCAAGGAGTGACGGGCAGATTTGAACCACCAACCTTGTGGTTCAAATCCATTGCTTATCCTACAGCACCACAGCAGGGCTCCTCCTAATATACAGTAGCTGTTAAATATTTGTTAAATTAGTGAATTACTTTTACAATATCAAATAAAGCACCTACATTTTTTTGTTGGTGAATGATACTGATATCTGACATCAGGGATATCTGACACAGGCATTTTTAGGTGCATGTTATCTTATTGTTATATTTGAGTATAAATTGAAATTACTCTTTTTATATGTTAAGGTAAATGAACATCTGAAAGACATAATGGAACAGGAGCAGAAATTGAAAGAGCATCACACTGTTGAAGCTCCAGGAGGTCAAAAGGTATGTTTCAAAGTTAAAAAAAAAAAAAAAAAAAAAGGTACCTGTATAAAACTATAGATATGTTCACATGTATGTCTTATTTTGGGAAATAATGATAGTTGTGGTTCATGATTTTTTGGGATATTGACAGCCCTAGAAAGCCATGTCATTATAAACACTAAGTGAAATTTTGAAGTACAAAGTGAAGGTAAATTGAATGGTGGTATTAATGAAAAATTGTTAATGAATAGAGCTCAATTTCTGAAGTTCTTTTGGCAAAACTAATTATTTTGCATGTGTTTGGTAAAACCTGTGAAACAACCAGAATATACTTTTAAGTGTATATTTATTTAATGGCCTTTAAAACAATCTTCTCGGTATTATAAGTTGTAGATACTGTTATTCTTTGAAGAAAGAAGAAATGTTAATATAGAGTCATTATTTAAGAATTCTTAAATAGTATTATAGAATTTTCTTCTTTGAAAACTTAATTGTGGGTTTGTCATCAACTGGAGATTAAAAATGTATTTTCTACAAAATATAGTTTACATGTTTTCACATCAGAGGACTTTTAAAATGCTGTAAAACATTAGTATCGAGGAATAATTAATTAAAATTATGCAGAGATCTTACTTTATATCTGGATTATCTAAGTTTCTTCATTGCTGATATCATACGGATCTTGGCTGAAAGCAGAGTACACCAGAAAGATGTTTACTTGTGCTCTGCTGACTATGCAGACTTTCAGCTGTGTGGATCTTAACAAACTATGGATAACATTGTGAAGAATGGGTATTCCAGCACACTTCATTGTACTCCTGGAGAACCTATTAGAACAAGTTGCAGTCATTCTAATAGAACAAGGGGATACTTAATAGTTAAAATCAGGAAATGTGTGCATCAGTGTTCTGTCCTTTCACCATACTTATTCAATCTGTATGATAAGCAGATAATCCAAGAAGCTAGTATCTGTGAAGAAGAATGTCATATCAGAATTCTAGGAAGACTCATAAACAACTTGTGATATGCAGAAGATACATCCTTGCTTACTGGAAGCAAAGACACCCTGAAATACTTAATTGATGAAGATGGTATGGTTTGCACCTCAACGTAAAGAAAACTAAAATCTTCACAATGGTCCAATAAATAACATAATGATAAATGGAGAAAAGATTGACATGGTCAAAGACTTCTTTTTGCTCTGATCAACCATCAACACTCAGGAAGCAATAGTCAAGAAATCAAACAACATATTTACATTAGGCAAATCTGCTGACAAGACTGCTTTAAAGTGTTCAAAAGCAAAGAGATCAGTTTGAGGACTAAGGTGCATCTGACCCAAACCATGGTATTTTCAGTCACCTCATATGCATATGAAAGTTGGACAATGAATAAGGAAGACTAGAAAAATCTATGCATTTGAGTTACAGTTGTTAGTGAAGAATGTTGAAAATACTATAGACTGCCTGAAGAACAAGCCATTCTGTATTGGAAGAACACACCTTAGAAGCAAGTATGGCGAGACTTCAACTCTCATACTTTGAGAATATAATAAGAAGGAACCAGTTCCTGGAGACAGACACCATGCTTGGTAAAGTGGAAGATCACCTGAAAAGAGGAAGACCCCCAGTGCGATGGATTGGCACAGTAACTGCAGCAGTAGACTCAAGTGTAACAACAGTTGTGAGGATGGCACAGGACTGGGCAGTGTTTGGTTCGGTTGTGCATTGGGTCTTATAAGTTGGAATTGACTCAATGGCATGTAAGAACAACAAACAACAAATTCTGTAACTATATAGTCTTAATATATCCCTTCGTATACATTAGTACATGTAAGGGACTCAAAACAGAAGTTCAGTGAAAATAGTAAATAGTTGGTTACCATGAATTTTCCTGTATGTAGGATTAGGAGTCCTGGTGTGGCACTGTAGGATAAGTACTGGTCTGAGAAACAAAACCTTTACAAGTCACACTCACCAAGCTGCAAGTTTAAACTTCAAACTTCAGAAGTTGCAAGTAAAAGGCACATAGGGAATTAATTAATGATTAGATCAGTTTAGCAGTATAGCTTTTGAAAGAGCTATTCACTCATGGGTTTGTGTTTGTAAATTTACAATGCTATCTATTTAATTGAGTGAAATTTGGTACTTATCAAAACATTATTCAATGTGACATTTGCCACTTTACAAAAAATACTTGTGAGATGTTTTGCATGGGTTGGGGATAGGATGAAGGAACTATCTCTGGAGGAAAGGCAATTAATGAACTCTAATTGCTTTTCACTTGAAGGTGTAGAATCAAAATAGATTATACTTTCCCTAGTGAAAATATAGGTAAATGGTTATACATTTTTACTTGATTACTTCAGCCCATGTGAATTTTTTTTTAGCGCATTCCTTAGCAATTAAAAACTATAACCCACATTTTCCTTTCTCTCAAATCCCATTTCTTTGAGAGAAAGGAAAATGTAAGAAAGGTTCTGATGGAAGTTACACTAGGGAAATGCTACCTCATCTGTGCTGCTTTAAGAATGTTACAACCCAGTTTTGTTGTTGTTGTTGTTGTTAGGTGCCATCAAGTCGGCACCGACTGATAGCGACGTTATGCACAGCAGAACGAAGCAATGTCTGATCCTGGGCCAACCTCACTACTGTTGCCACATTTGAGACCATCGATGCTGCCACCTGGCCAATCCATCTCGTTGGGGCTCTTCCTCTTTTTCTCCATCTTACCAAGCATGATATCCTTCTCCAGCGAGTATTCCCACCTGACAATATGTCCAAAGTATGAGAGACGAAGTTTGGCCGTCTTGACCTCTAAGGAGTACTCTGGCTGCACTTCTTCCAAAACAGATCTATTGGTTCTTTTGGCAGCCCATGGCACTTTTAATATCCTCCTCCAGCACCATAATTCAAAGGCATCAGTTCTTCTACGATCTTCCTTATTCACTGTCTAGCTTTCACATCCATGTGAGGTTATATCGTCTTTCTGTCGTATTGTGGTGGCTTGTGAGTTGCTGAGGGCTATGCTACCAGTATTTTAAATAACCAGCAGGGTCACCCATGGTGGACAGATTTCAGGTGAGCTTCCAGACTAAGACAGACTAGGAAGAAAGAGTGACGAACTACTTCTGAATCGTTAGTCACTGAAAACCTTATGAATAGCAGAGAAACAACCCAATTTAGTACATGAAAAATCCAGTTAAGAAGCCTGTTAAGCTGATAAACTCATTTTTCTCCAGTATTTTTGACCTTTGAATTCTTTCATGAGTGACATGTACTGACAGCTTCTAGAATTCATATTCTTTGGAACAGAATTTGGAAAACACTGATTTGTAACCTATCACATTGTACTGGTCTGCTTCATACATATTAAATGTATAAATATATCAGACGAGCATTTATTATTCTAACATAGTATATAATTTTTTTATTATTTAGTTTTGGCTCAGATTTGCCTTAGATACCATGAAGGTGAGGTGCGCTTCTCATCATATATACCAGAGGGGGCATGATACCAATATAGCTTATCACTGGTAATGTTCACTTGGATCACTTGGTTAAGGTGTGTTTGTCAGGTTCATGGAAAAGACCTTTTCCATGGTCTTTCTTTGGAAGTGGACTAAGTCCAACCCACATTCAAGGGATGAGAAATTAAGGTCACTTCCTGAATGGAATGTCTAAATCTACTATTTGGAATTCTGTAAGGGAGTTTTGTGTCTTCTTAGCCCAGGTATTTATATGTGTTGTTTATAGCCATTTGTGCTTATGAATATTTATTTTATACTTTTCATTGTATTATTTTGCTGTTTGGCCATTGGGAACTCTTTCAGTTTGGATCTTGTACCCCTTGGATATGCCCCATTCCTTTGGGGTTTTTTGTTTTGTTTTGTTTTTTGAGAACTCCTGCCTTTTTTTTTTAACTGTTTATTGAGATTTGGGTGAGAACGTATAGAACTTACTGGTTTTCCATTTATTAATTCATACAGTTTGTTTTGTGACATTAATTGCAAGTCCCACACTGTGACAGTACTCTTACCGTGTCCTCTCCATGTTTACCATTTCCGTTTGTCCTTCTTCCCTGTCTTTGTCCCTGAGCAAATGCTGCCCTTTGATCTCAGGATTGCTTGTTCTAAGGAGAGCATACTTCCCTGGTGTTTTATTTCACCTGTTGACATTTGGCTAAAACATTGAGTTCACTTCCAGGCATAAAGGGTGTCTTTGGGGTTATATCCTCCAGGGTTCCATCAGTCTCTATTAGACCAGTAAGCCTGGACATTTATTTTTAATTTTTAATGAGTTTGTGTTTTGCTTTACATTTTCTCCCATTCTATCTAGGACCTTCTGTTACGATCCTTTTCCGAGTGGTTAGCAGTGTGATAGCTAGGCACTACCTCGTTCTTCTGGTCTCAGGGTCCTAGAGGCTCATATGGTCCATTAGTCTTTTGGACTAATGTTTTCTTGCAGCTTTGTTTTCTTTATTCTTCTTTGCTCCAGACAGGCAGAGACCAACAGTTGCACCTTAGATTGCTATTCATAAACTTTTTTTGTTGTTCTTTTTTGTTCTATTCATAAACTTTTAAAGACTCCAGTCACTAGTTACCAAAGTAAGGCATTATCTTTTTATGGACTGTTTTACACCAGTTAACCTTGATGTCTCCCAAGTTTGATTCTGAACCCCAGGCCCAGCAACTCATTCCCTCAACATGTTTGGTTATGGCTAAGGAATTTCATAGCTTTGTTCCTCTGTGTGCTCTACTATATTCATATATAATTATATATTCATACATTCATTATATATTATATATTCATATAAATATTATAGCACATAAATACATGTGTAGAAGTATCCTCTGTCAAGCCTCCATATATTTGGGGGTATAGTTAGTCCCACTCATCCACCCGCCCTTGTTAACGTATGTGTCTATTGTAGATAAGTGTTCTCACAGTTACCGCAGGATTCGGTATATGATAGTATTCACCTTGTTGCCTTTAACTCTTATGCGCCTCTCAGTGTTGTCC